ACCACACACACAGCCGCCAGCAGATCATGTTTGCCGAACTGGTCGTCGTCGAACCGCAGCAGCTGCACTTGCTGCCCATTCACCGCCCGCCGCAGCCCCGCCTGTGAGCCCAGCGAGTGGCTGAGCCGATCTCTCAGCTGGGCCGCTCCGAAGAGGTCTTCGAGCCACGTGCAGGTGGCTCTCAGCCGCACGACGTCCTTGACGCTGAGGAGGTAGCGGCTCCTCCGGCCCACACACAGGTATGACACGGGGTGCTGCTGCTGCTCGTGGTGCTGCATGGGATGGATGGGCCAAGACGGTCAGATGAGTGAGACGCTCGACGAGAGGCTGCACAGAGCGACAGGGCCGACAGAGGATCATGTCCATCAAGCATGCTGCTCACAGATCTGTGTGCTGCTCACCTTGTTCGATGGTCGCGTGGGGGAGAAGGGGGGAGGCCGACCCGACAGACAAATCTGGGGTAATCTGGGCGTCTCTCGCTGGTCACACCGGGGGAGCCACACCGGGATTTGTCTCTTCCTCTTGAATCCCAGCCAAGCTCGCAGATTTCCAGGCAAGCAAAAGCGATCGCGAAGGGAGAGCTTGAAAATTCAAACATTGCGGCTTCTTTGCATCAGGGAGACGACGCCATCGCTCAGAAAACTCCCTCTCTGAGATAACATCGCATTTCTGCTGTGTTTGTCGTAAGCCCTCCCGTCTTGTGCGGCGTTGTGATTCGGCTCATTGACCCATCGGCTGACTGATTTGCTCGTCGGACATTCGCTGCCCTCTCACCAGTAAGCACACGCACAAGAGATGACAGACAGACGCGCGAACGACACACTCACTCACTGCGCCATTGTGTGTGTGGTGGTATTCAGGCGCCGTGAAGCCAGCGGGCGGCAGCATGAGCAGCACATCGGCATCAGCAGCTGCTGCAGGTGGGCTGACTCACTGAGTGGGAGAGGCAGGGGAGGGGCTCACCTGTGTGTGCTGTGTGTGTGTTGGCCAGGCAGTGGTGGACATAGCGGTGTCGTTGCAGTCATCAATCACAGCGCCACACAAGACGATGAGCAGTCGGTGAGCCATGGTGCGGCCACACAAGCAAAGACCGTCATGTGCTCTCTGAGTCTGTTTCTCGTGCGTGATGATGTTGTGTGTGTGCGTGCCGGCCTCCTTTTTCAGAAGTCGTCTGATCTGTTGGCGCGCATGGTGAAGTTGCACCATCAAGTAGGTGGCTTGGCTGCAGACACAGACGAGAGGACATGTAGGCAGACCTGAAGATGGATGGATGGCTGTGTGTGCAGATGAGCGACTCGATCAGATATCTCGCTGCCAAGGTCAGTCAGTGGGTCGACAAATGGCTGGCTGAGCACACCATGCACGCTGTGTCATTTGTCATTGCCCACTCCCTCCTCCGTTTGCCTGTGTGTGGTAATACCTGTGGTTGTGTGCAGGGGTCTGTCGGAAAGAAGCACCTGCCGATGCTGGAGAGAGCCATCGCAGACAGCTCTAGTGCACTCGACCGACTTGATGGCTTGGCACTGGTATGCACACACGCATGCATCATTGATCCGCCCTCCGATCCATTCTGAGCTTTGGTTTGTGTGTGTGTGTGTGTGTGTGTGTGTGTGTGGCTCAGCTGGAGGGCCACTTCAAGAACTTCGCACTCGCCCCTCCTGACGATGAAGTCGAGGAGGGATGGGGGAGGATCGAGCCCTTCTTTGCAGAGGCACGTGTACCCATCGATTCGATGGACGCACACCGACATTGTGGCCGGGTGGACTTAATTGCCGCATCTGATCTGCAGGCGCCGTCCATCACCATCAGTGGGGATCTCTCTGACCACTCATCCGACGCAGTCGACTCGCAGACAGAGACGCTGGCACAGGTACGAACAGGTACAAAGCCACGTATGCTGTACCTGTGCCTTTCGTATTGCATATCTGCTTTTGCTCCAGGGCCCCGGCAGCCGATTTGCCGACAAGGCCGTCACTCATGAGACCACTAAGGCCACTCAAACACAGAAGAAGGTACGACAGCGGAGCTGGTACACCGTGCTGCCGACATCATGACGGCCGACGTATGCTGTCTGTGCGTGTCATTCGTTGTCTGTTAGGCTCACTTGATTGGGTTTGAGTTCGTGCGGCAGCTATACGCCCTGCCCGAGACCCTCATGCACGGCACACTTTTCCCCCTCATCCACCAGCACCCCCACACTGCACTCGCCAAGGTCAGCAGTGCCCTCTGCTGCACCTCACCGGCAGTCGGCAGCGCCGTCGCGGCCGCCCTCATCGCACAAATCGACAGCATCATCGAACGCCTCAAGGGACTCATCGGCTACACCCAGATCCGTCGGCACCTGCAGTGGCACCCGGGTCGGTGTGTGGATGTCCGTCGGCCATCCCGACTGATCCGCCTTCACTATGTGATGGTGACGGGCGGCGACTGGACGGGCAGCGCGCCGCTGCTGCGGCTGGCCAAGAGCTGCAGTGAGATCCAGTCGCTGCCGATCGAGCTGACGGCTGAGGATCTGTGGCGTGCGGGCAGCAAGGCCGTCATAGACAGCCGCCCGCCCAGCATGAGGCAATACGCCCTCTTCAGCCACCGACTGGGAGAGGTCAGGCACCTGTCGCGCGATGCCAACGGGCGGGAGAGGCTGGGCGGCGGTGTGGTGACGGTGCACACACAGCAGACGGTGCCGGTCAGATATCGAGATCGATTCGATGCGGCCGATCCCCCGTGCCGACGTAGGAGAGGGGAGGGCACAGCACCACAGGGGAGCCAACTTGACATGGATGGTGTCTGCCGCTGTGTGTCTGTGTGTTGCTGCAGACGTTCGTGACTTCGGCAGCTTCCGTGAGTTGGTCATCGAGAGGTAAGCAGCGAAATGAGAGAAACACCAATGTCTCCTGCTGTCTGCCTTTCCGCTTCCTGCTCTTTCAGTATGGTAGTAGAGTCGTCGTTGCTTCAGGTGTGGGATCGTTGGTGTTATGAATCAGATCCGCACTCTGCTGAGTTTGACCGCATCTGTGCCCTGATCGACCAGCAGCCGCCCGTCTGCCGCACCATCAACTACGGCATTGCGATACACACGGACGGCATGAAGGGCCGGCTCGTCATACTGCATGGCGACGAGAAGGGCGACAATTTCATGGCATACATGGAGATGGCAAAGTGGAGTGACGTGTGTTCATCCATCCACCTCTGCACCACCGAGGCGCCCCATCAGGGCGGCAGTGGTCCTGCTGCCTTCCCGCGGACAGTGGCCATCGCCAACAAGAGGATGGGCGACGCCGTCACGCTACTCCCAGAGGTCAACAACGCCATCAACACGGGTACATACGCACGAGAACACCAGATGAGCCCAACACAAGAGTGAGACTGTCTCTTGTTTCATGACTGCAGCTGTCGGGGTGACGTCGACGTGACTGAGGTGGGCTTGGGCGGCGGCACGCACGACATCGGAAGTAGCTGACGTGCAGTGGGGCGGCAATGGGAAGGGCGCGAGATGGACCGACCAGCCTGTCTGTGCTGCCTTCATCTGTGTCTGTCATGTGTTTGCTCCCGGCCGTTTTTCTTCCTCGTGTGTCGATGTGGTGCGTTTATCTGTCTGTCTGGATGGACATACACCGCATGAACCGAGTGCGTGAGTGGTCGGACTGCATCTGTGCACGAGCATCCTTTGGCTTGATGACACACCAAACGTCAATCTGAGTCTGTCAGTTTGTTTGTTGTGTTTGTTACTCTACTATAAGCTGCTCACTGCACATGCACACTCATGCGACCCATCCATTTGGTGATAAAGTCGTTGCCTCGTCCACAACGATAAAGGCCGGGAAGTTCTCCACCTCTATTTTCCACACAGCCTGCACACATCGCATCCATTGCACCCAGAGAGAGCGGCATCCAAATGGCTGTATCATATTGCATTTATCATATTGTACTCACTCCGGCAGACAGACAGGGAGACATACATGTGAGCACAATATGACCTTTCATCTGTTGGCTGGCCGGATGGGTGAATGGATGGATGTTGTTGCTTGCTGATAATTCATTCAGTCGAGCTAGAGGGGAGAAAGGTCCCGTACGCATTGTGCGACTGTACCCGTGTTGTGTGTGGGGTTGTGGCTCTTCTGCATGGCTGAATGAGTGAGACAGAAATGCATCGCTCCCTTCACACGTTAGACAGTGTCGGTCGAGTGTCCACCAGAAGCTGCCTCCTCCGGCACTCAACACCCACTCTGCGTGCCCTGCTTTCTTCAAAGAGACTCTCGGATATAAAATGGAGGCACCGATCGATGGCCGCTGCCGCCAACAAACACACACATACACACAAAGAAAAACCACACAAGACCGCATGTCTCTCTTCCCTCCGCCCTGCCATGTATCAGGTGCACTATTATGGCCATTTGCACCCGTCGGGCTCCTGGATGGTGACAGGATATACACACATTCGCACACTTGAAGCACATCCAGACAGACAGACAGACGTGACCTCTTGTCTGTGTAACTAATGCCATGCTCATGTACTTGGCGAGTGCAAGGAAGCATAGATGTACCACTCGAGAGCTCATCAGACCATACTTTCGCGCCACTTCAGCAACAATGGGAAAGCACACGGCTAATTCTAGAGAACACAAGAAATGATGTTAGCACAGAGGCGTCTTTGTGAGAGGCTGCGCACCTTCAGCTCTTGGGCCATTCGAGGCTTCGCCGATCTTCTTTAGAGCCGACTCAATGACTGGCAGATCTTGGTCCAGGTCTCCTGTGGCAGAGACGTGTATGCAGAGGAAAGCATCTATGTGTCTCTCTTTTGCTGCTGGTCGGTACCCGTGAGGCTTCTCAGGTCGGCAATGATTGATTATGTTTGGGACTTGAGTGTTGTCAATGCTCGTCTCATCTAGCTTGGATGGTGCGGCGCCAGCCGCTCCGACATGCCGCTGTTTCTGACGGCATTAGGGGCTGCAATCTAAATGACAAGCCTTGAGCTGCCGCTCCATGTCGCTCTTGATCTCGGCATTCAGGTCATTGCCGAGGTCTGACGGCACAGCACAGCGCAAGCCGTGCGTGCGGGCCTGACCTGGAGTGATACCACCGTCGCCATCATCTTGTCAACTTCCTGAGCGCACACCCACAGACTAGCGCTTCCGCTACACAGTGGAGACATGACGATTGTACACTTCCCACCCTCGAGTTGATGTCCAGATCGGTGTCCGTGTCGTTGGATGCCGTCCGTGGTCGGCTGATCCTTGGCCAACACGGATGGAATCTGGATGGCCCTCTGGATGTTCCAGAACATGACGCCTGTGACATTAGGGCCTGCAAACATCACGCCACAATACAGACAATACCACTTTGACACACGCATGGTTCTGCATCTTGTGATATGTATGTTGTCAGTTCGGTATCCTCACCCGAACGCGGCGTCATGGGTGAAGGCGGAGAGCGGCCCGCAGGTGTTCGCGCCGTTATTGTGCTTAAAAGCGATGAATGACGACTTCGCTTGGCCTGTGTTGGTGTCATCGATGGCCGCTTGCGCTTATCATCATATGACAAGCTGCAGAAAGAGAGACACGTCCACCTTCGTCTTATGAATGATACAAGGTATATGACGCGCACACACAGATCCACGTCACCTTGAAATGCCTTCGTGGCGGCCGCCTCAACCGCGCTGCAATACTGCCAGGTCGGCGCTGCCCGGCATGGCGACAGGACAAGGGGTGCGAAAAACACCAACAACACAAGGACCTGCCGCCACAACAACAGCACACCACAATGCATGACCCCACACAAGCCCCCATCGATGGCTCGCAGTTGGGAAGTCTTGAAGCTGTCTTGTCCGTCTGTCTGCGTTGATGGCTGCTGCTCTCATCATCTCCTTACACTTCACCAAAGGCGTTGCTGTGCACGCACACAGACAGAGAACCGGATCCCATTATTGCGCATACCTGAAAGCGCTGATGTCTACAAGATGAGGCTCTGAGTCACACACACACAGATGGAGAGAGAGCACCAATTCGCTGAGTGTGTACGCTCCCCTCGGTCCCTCACCTGCAGTTGATGGTCTTGAGTGCCACTTATGTCCTCGTCTCTGCAGGTCTGCAAGACGAAGTACAGGTCTCGATCAGATGCATTGTCTGCCGGCTCGTCACAGAGCCGTCTTCGATGGGAGGGGAGGGGAGGGGCAAAGAAGTCGGGCGGACTGAGTTGATGGTCGTTGGACGTCCGGGCCTGAATGTTCCAAGGAATCCGATCAACAAAATCCATAAACGATGATTCGGCGGACTGAATGAGAGTGTTTCTGGTGCATGAATGCGTCTACCTGCCGCATGAAGCGACGGTGTATCTTTTGTCTGGCTTGTTCGTACTTCCTCCATTCCACCCATGCTGTCCTCTAACGCGCCGCCGTCGGCCTGCTCCACAGCCGACTTGGAAGACGAGGGGCGACTCGGCGGTTCGTTGGTCAGAAAGAGTCGTCGGAACGTGAGATGAAGAGCCAGAGGAAATATGAAATGCAGACAGCGATTGAGAACTCACTGACAATAAAGACACATGGGAATAATGCATGAGTGCAGGGGTATCGTGTGCAAAATGTTCACCTGCCTCAGGGACGGCGAAGGAGTCTCTTGGCTGATGTCTGTGGGGGCCGCTGCCTGCTGCTGCTGCTGCTGTGGGGAGGTGGCAATGGGGAAGGAGCGCTGCAGCTGCCTCTTGTCGACCGCCGGGCTGGGGGGCGAGTCGGGGAGGCTGAGGTCGGTGTAGGAGCGTTGGAGGGCTGTGGTGGATCGCCAAATGGGTGGCGAAGAGGCGACCGTACTGGCAAGAGACAAGCGGCGGGCGGCACCCTCCTGCACCTTGTCATCATCGCTGCACGGATGAGAGGACACAGACAGAAGCGACATATATATAAATCCATCGATGTCCCCCATTCATATACGTACGCTGTATGTACGCTTACCCCTTCACTGCTTTGGCGTCAGAGGGGCGGTCACTGAGGGCTTCGACGGCGCTGCTGAAGCTCTCCTCCAGCTGCTTCTGGACGCCCAGTCGCCACTCAGCACTGACACATATAGTTGACATACATACGCTCATGTGCCATGCATACCTGTTGCTATGGCTGTCGGTCGACTCACGCCTTTTGGCGATCTTGTTCCCTGGCTGCCGTCAGCTCCTGATTAGCCGCTCCACCCGGCCCTCTCTGGCCTTCTCGCTGGCCTGCAGCTTCTGCACCGTGTCGCGCACCTCCCTGCCGACGTCCTCGGCGTCGATGCGCTGCTCCATGCGATGTATCTCCTGCCTGCAGCGCAGCGCAGCCCAGAGAGACATTTGAATGAAGAGACCAAAGTCCAAAGTGACCGACCAGGTGCGGGTGGGCGATGTGCCTGCCTGCCTGCCACGAGTGTGTGCCCCTAAGTACATATGTAAGTATTGCTCACTCACTTGAGCCTCTCGTTCCTCCCGCGCTCCTCTTTCTGCTGAGGCTGGGGTGGGCCCAGACAGGGCGTTTTGGCGGTACAGAAGGCGTCAATGGCCGCCTCCGGGGAAGAGGAGAACAATGGACTCGAGAGAGTGCGATGAGTTTCTGTCTTACCAGCCTGACGCTGGGAGATTGCCAGTTCTGCGGTGGCCTTGGATGCCTCGGCACGCACCTGAACTAGTTCCTTGTCAAGCCGATGACGCCAAATGGCAGGTTGTCTTCTCGAGAATAATTGCTTCGAATTAAAATCATTCTCGGCAGTCTCCTGCCGAGCTGCCGAGAATCTTGCCGTTGCTGTCTTTGCACCCATAGCTTAGTTTCTGACAAACTTTGTGTCCGTTAGCAAACGGCTGAGCTTCGCGAGCTTAGCTTGGCCGATCTCCCCACTAGCTAACGACGGAAGAAACCCTAAAGGTGCACATTTAGGGTTTCCTTTTCGGCCTCATGGCGATGTCAAGCGCCCGCTGGTGGTTAGAAAGGTGCGCTTCTCGAGTCGCGCGGCACAGTATCTCGCGAGCATAGTGCAATTCGATCAAGATCTGGGCCCAAGGGACATTCAAACCCTAAACCCTGAACCCCAACCGAGCGGCTTCAGGCTTCTGTTGCAGAACCTATAAAGACGTGCGCCGAGGTGGCGTTGTCAACCTTATTACTTTGCCCGCTCCAGCTTGAGCTCCTCGGGATCCACCGGCCGGCACAATACTCGTCTTACTTATACTGTGATTGATTCACCAACTTTTCGCGAGTGGCGCGTTCTCTCTCGGGTTAAAAGGTGCGCCACTTCGTGCCATTGCCTGTGCTCTGGCGTCGCGGCCTGGGGCGGCGCGGGTGGCGAGAAAGGACCGGAAATGTCGGTCGCAAAAAGCTCGCAGATGGCCAACTCGGCAAAGACGGGAGGCTGGCGCGGGGCGCCACGCCGGTTCGAATCGCGCAGGCGGTCGATATGCGGGTCAGTAACGGAGAGTGTTACGGTAAGGTCAGGGTAAGGTCATGATTGTCCGTGACGTCCACATGCCCTTCTTCATGAGTGACGAGGGCGGCGAGTCGCTTTGTGCCTGCCTACTGACCGAAGCCACGGGTCAGCAGCGGGGGGGTCGCGGGTTGGAAGGAAGCGCCTTGTGCAACGGTTTGTTTGAGTGCATGCTGCCTGTGTCCTGATGTGGACAGTGTAGCGTCGGGCTTAGGAACAGGTGTTTCGTTAAACCACTTAAGCAAGCGGGTCTCCCAGAAGCCCGCGCAACGCGCGGGCGAACGCTAGTCTTCCTTTGGCGAAGGAGGATTGAGAGGCTCAGGACCTGTGTGTGATTGATCTGTGTGTGTGTGTCACAGATCATGACGGCCGACTGATTGCTGCAGTTCAAGTACTTTGAGCAGGTGAGGGAAGGCGAAGAGGCGTAGGATGGCGTTGAAACGCATTCATTCTGTTTTCTTTCTCGTCTGCAGGTGCTCGTGGCGGGTTCATTGAGGGCCAAGCTTGCGACATCTGCATCGAAGACATGGTTGACCGCAGCACTGCCGACATCGTGCTGCGGCAGGAGCTGGACATCGTGGAGACCCTCGTCCCCGCCCCTCCAGTTCGACGTCGACGCCATCCTCTCGGGCAGCAACCAATCCCTGATGACACTCATAAAGAAAAAGGTTGCTCACAGTGCGTGATGTGAGAGGTTGGTGGTTGCGTGTGATGCTATGGTTTGCTTGCGCAGGCTACCTCCGCGGGCTGGCGTGACGACCCTGCTGTTGCTGACGCCATACTCGACAAGTCTGGTAGGTCGGCTGCATGCATGCATACACTATAACACACACACGTGGTTGCTGCTTGCGTGTAGGTGCCTGGCCCGCTTCACCTGCGAAGGCCGGTTCTCCTCTGAAGTCCGCCGCTGTCTGCTGCCACGGGTGCTCAAAAAAGAGGCCGGAAGTCATCCGCACCTTCCGGATAACCTACAAATGGCGGGCGGACCACGAGAGCAGTATATGGCGTGCGGTATACTGGACGCAGGGTGCTGTGCGACAGCACTGACCTCGGCATCAAGATGGCCATCAGCCTCATATCCGACCTGGCCACGTCGCTTTCGAGCGACACGATTCACGCGTCGATACAAGACCTGGGCGACTTTCTCATGGGGACCACTCAGTCATCAAACATAGCCGGTGGATAGCAGTGCTGGGTGAGGTGATCGGTGTCGGAATGCAGCACACGTGCTTCTTGCAGGCTCAGGTGTGTGCATTGCGTTTGGAGTGTCAGCGAGACCAGCAAGACGCCGCCAAGGCCAAACAGCACGACGAGAAGTTGCAGAAGGGAAGCCGAGAGGTACGCATCGCGGGAAAGATGGAAGAGGGGGCAGAAAGGCTGTGTGTCCGTCAGGTTGCGTGCGCGGATAGCCACGACAGCGAGCCTGCCGATCTCTCGTTAGCGACGCAGACGACGCTGATCAGCATACAGATGGTATGCGTCTCCTGCAGCAGCACCACCTGCAGGTGGGTATGACACTCACCACCGCGCACATACACCCGACACTTCCTGACGCTCCTCTTCGGTTCAGGCCGTCGCGGAGAACGAGCACGTGAACGAGCGCGTCGTTGCGGAGAACGAGCGCCTCCGTCAAGAGCACAAGACTTTAAAGGACAGTCGAACAGCGCACACACATGGGGACACGGACACATAGAGCCGTACACCGAGGAACGGGGCAAGCTGGGTGTGAGGCTACTGCTCTTACGTTGTGTCGACGTGCTGTGTGTGTTGTGCAGCTGAACCACCCGTCCAGACATCTCATACAAGCGGACAATGCATTTCAATGTGTGTGAGGATCGACCCATTTCATGTGTGTGTGTGTGTGTGTGTGTGTGTAAATACGTGTCCATCGCAAGTTCGTTCATTCACAGAGGTCGCGACCTCACACAAAGATGCATAGGCCGTAGTCGGGTGGATGCTCCTGTCATGATCCACCAATGTCGAACACTGTATATCAGCCAATTCACACGTTCGATTCAGTCAGTGACCGCCACTTCAGTGTCCAACAAACAATCCTCAAACAGACAATGCCAGACAACCCAATCACCCCCAAAAGAAGCAGTGCAGCGGAATGCAGAGAGGTGTTAGTTAAGGGAAACCGAAGTGTTTGTTGGTTTGTCTGTGTATGTGTGTGTGTGTATGTGTGTGTGTGTGTGTATTTGTGTGTGTGTAGAGAGAGAGGGAGACAAAAGGAGAGACAGCAATCACACCCCAAAACAGCAACAACAGCAACCACTTCTAATCACTACGGACGATGGCCCAAAAAACGATGCACAGCAGAGGACACTCCCAATCAATCAGTGAAGCGAAAATCCCTGCCAAAACAGACCAAATTTGGTCCATTCATCAGCATCAACGCCCCACTGCAGTGCCTTGGCGAGAGAACAGCGCCCTGAATCGCCCAATTGCTTTCTCAGCTTCAGCCCAGCCGACCTCTTCCACGGGATCTCTGCCGGACTTCTGGTGCTCCTTTGTGATGAGATCCATGCTCGCATCGAGCGTCTTCTGTATCCCCGCGCGTTTGATGAGGATCTCCTGTACGGATTGGTTGCACTTCGGGCTTTTGAATGCAAGCTGGTGGAGCACCAATGCCACAAATCTACACAGAAAGGAGGACAGAAAGAGAGACACGTGCAGGCAGATGCGGTGCAGCAAGGAGAGCGGGTTGTTAGCAAAGCTCACTTGACAAGGCTCGTGTGTGCGGGATGCACTTCTATGCACTGAATGAGCAGCTCAACCCCCTGTCAATGCACCAACCGGGCGAGCACCGTCATACAACGTTACTTCGTGTTCATGAAATTGCACGTCTCACCTCATTCTCAATGATCTTGTAGTGCCCAAGATCCATTCGGATGCAGAAACTGCATGTACAGACACAGAGACAAGCCAGACGACAATGGGGACTCCTCGACAGCGGCAATGGGATGATGACAAGTAAACCTACCAATACACGACTTGCGCGACGGCGTTGCAGCACTTCTCATCCTCGAGAAATCTCCTCAGCCCTGAAAAAATCCTTGTGAAGCCATCTTCGTTAAGCAGCTTGGCGCGGAGAGTCGAGTCATTGGCCGACATAGATGCAATCGCATGGCAACCTAACCCAAACGCATCCTTGTCGTTCTGATGCAAGCACATGGCCTCCATCACGTGACCTGTAAGTCGAGGACAAACACAGTGCGACCGATCAGGCGCTACATGCGTATCTCGTCACTTTCCAGTCAGTGCATACCCAGCGCCAGCTTCGTGTCGAAGCTCTGGATGCTCTCCTCGAGACCGATGACGGAAAACAGCTTGAATGCGCTCTGCTGGACCTTGGGGTCGTGCTTGTGGATGCCCACCAACTCCACCATGAAGCTCAGGTTCTCTCGGAAGGGGAAATGAGTCACTTGGCGGCGGTTCGGCCTGCTCTTGAAGCACATCTTGGCCAAGGCGTAGAAGCTCAGATGCACCACGCGGGCGCTCATCGGACCATACTTGCGGCAGACTTCAGCAATGGCGAAAAGGCACACATGCAAACCTGTGTGGTTGGCAATGGAAGAGACCAGAAATGACGTTGGAACACAGGCCGCGTCTTTGTGGGGATGTCGCACCTCCAGCTCTGGGGCCGTTTGACGCTTCGCCAATCTTCTTCAGAGCCGCTTCGATGATTGGAAGATCCTTTTCCAAATCTCCTGCGTGTGACAGAGATTTGAACAAGGAAAGTCGTTTGGATGTCGCTGTCTCTCTCCTGGTCTTTGGCACTTACCTGTCAGGTTTCTGAGCATTCTGTTGATTTCCTCGGGCAGGTTGATGTCATCAACGCTCATATCATCAAGTTTGCAGCGAACGCCACCTTCCGCGACAGGCGACTCCTCCTGACCGGCGCTGCTGAGCTCGCCCTCGGCGCTGCTGAGCTTGGCCTCGGCGCTGCTCAGCTGGGCCTCGGCGCTGCTCAGCTTGGCCTCGGCGCTGCTCAGCTGGGCTTTCTGCAGACAAACCCCAAAATGTCTGGGGCTGTGCCGTGCGGTCGTGTCTCTCTCCTTTGGTTGCCTGTTCGTCTAGGGTGGTTGTGTAGTACGCTTGTTGGGCTGCCTTCTCCTCCTCCAGGGCCTTGTAGGCGCCGATCATCTCCTCCAATTCAGAGTCCTTTTTGCTGACCTGCACATATTGGCACCAATCGTCCGTGCATCATGTTTTAGTCATGTTGTCCACTGACCTGCCCTCGCATGGCGTCCAGCTCTCCCTTGAGTGTTTCTACCAGATCTTTGAAGGTCTGCATCGTGTCCCTTTCTGCTGCGATCTGTCTTTTGAGATCATCATTGACGTCGTCCAGCCGCTTGCCCGCCTCCTTCTCTCGCTGAAGCTCCAACACAGCCTTCTTGAGGGCCTCGTCCTTCTCCTTGAACTGACGCCATGAAGCAAAGAACGAAACACGAAAATCACCGCAAGATGCATCTTTCGAAAAATGACCTTCTTCACCATTTACCTGAGCCTCGAGCTCTGCCACACGATTCCTGAGAGATGCGACACTTTCTAGAGCCGTGCGCTCGCCCTCCTTGGCATCAGACACCTCCGAGTCCTTAGCTGCCAAGCGGGCCGTCACGTCCTCCTTCTCCTTGTTCAGGGCGGCAGCACTCTCGTCCGCTGTGGCCTTGGCGTCGGCGAGACGGCTCTCTAATGCCTTGGTCCGCTCCAGCTCCTCCTTTCGCATCTCCCCTATCCGCCGGTCTCTCTCGGCCAGCTCCGCCTCCTTTGTCGCCAGCTCCGCCTCCTTTGTCTTCAGTTTGCCGTCCAGCTCGGCCTCCTTTCTATCCTTGCTGTCGGCCTGTTTTTGAAACACTTGCAGTATCGACTCATAGTGCTCCTGCTGCCTGATCTTCTCTGGAGACACAGACGAGAGGAACAGAGACATAAGACACATGATTAGGCCTGCAGGCGTGTGGCTGGCGACTGATGTGTGTACCTGCTTTGAGAGTGTACACTTCTTGGTTGGCTTCATCCAGTCGGGCGCTTTTCTCTTTGAACAACTAGAGAGACAGAGCGAGAATGGGATGGCCACGGAAAGCCTAAGGATATTGTGTTTCATCCTAGCCCACTGTCTCCTTGAGTTTGTCCTCCGCCCCGGTGTTCACCAGCTTGCTCTCAATGTTCTGAACACACACACGCACACAGTCACACGATGCGAGCAGCTTTTGCGCACTCGTCTGTGCCGTATGCCATGTGTCCATTAATGCGACTGACCGCCAAGGCTTCGAGTATCTGCACCTGGTTCTCCTCCAGGTCCTGCTTTTTGGCCAGAGCTACCTCAGGGACTTGTGCAGGAGGAGGATTCCGGGGCTGCATCAAGCACACAAGGACATGGAAATCCATGCTTCGGGTGATGTGATATTCTGTTTGATTCTCACCGCTGCGGCGAGCAGATCTTGCAGTCGGGCTATCTCAGCCTCCAACTCGCAGAGCTTGCCGTCCTTTGGATCAAAGTTGATCTTTGGCTTGTTCTGTACCTGTGGACATAAAGCCAAAGCGCTCCTCTCTGAGGTGAGGCCGTCCATCTGCGGTCAGAGTGGTCAGGGTCTGTACCAGGGTAACACGTTCAGCGAACCGGAGTGTGCTGAGGGTGTCCTGCATCTGCTTCGCTCCGGGACAGATGCACGCCACCTATGCCACCCAGAAACAGACGGAATGTATGCACATGCAAGTAGCCACAGTCCCCTTATTACCATCAAGGTTTTTGAATTTCCTCCGAGGGAATCCTGGAGCGCACACACACAGCCGCACACACGAATGACATTCTCGAGAGACCTCTTGGCTCTCTGTCTGCTCGTTTCAACCTGCAGGACTCGCGTCAGCTTGGAGTCTCTGTAGGGGATGTGCGTTGGTTTGTGGGGTTGCTTGATCTGTTTGTTGAGCGCGTTGATAACGTTGCCTGCAGTAAGAGAGGTACATATGCAGTGATACAACTACTATGGAAGACGGTACCGAGAGCAGAAAGGGACGTGTTGATTGACGTTGCCTCTTTCATGCCATCTCCTTCAACGCCTGACCAAAATGCAGTTTCTATGCTCAGGTCTTGTTGCGTGCCTCTGCCGCTGACCAGACTGCTTGACGTGCTCGCATCCAGCGAGATCGACAAGATTCAATTTCCCAAGACGAATCTATTGAAATGCAGGCCAGCAAATTTGGCAGGTGACCATGTGTCTGCGCTCGTCGATGCGATGGCCTCACCTGCCTTCTGCCGCCTTCGGCCTCAGCTGACGACTCCACTATCACAGTGAAGATCGAATGACTCCTGAGGCACGAGACAGACACAATTAAATGAAGCTTTTTGCGCCATCCTCTCTTGCCTTACCGTGACGAGTGTTGGTTCATGTCTGTGCACCGGTGGTGTTGGTATTTGCGGCCCTCCTCCAGCACTTCCATCATAGCATGCACGTTCTTTGCCTGAAAACATCGGTGCAAAAGCGAAGCTCGGGTAGGGCATGCTCCGTGCCGTGCATGGATGCTCACCTCTCTCTGCGTAAGCTTGTCGACCCAGGGGCTGTCCTCGCCCCTCAGTTCCAACGCCACGCCTCTCTCCTCTTTGCTTCCCAGCAAATCGTAGAGTTTTTTATCATACATCTCCATGAAGGAGACACGAACAAGGAAGCGACGCTCGCCTCCCACTCTCGGAGTGCCTTGTTCAATGGGCGCTCGGGGCGTCTCAGGCATAGACAGGCTACCGCCGCTCGCTCGGCGCTCGAGAGGTTGGTGGGAGCCGATCGCGTCATATATCTGAATTTTGTAAAGATCCGTACAATCGCACGGGGAGTGAGCACACACATGTCAAGGGCATCTCTTGGCTACCTGTTTGACGGCTCGTGGTATGATGCCCAGCCGTTCATCGAAGATGGAGCTGTGAGTGTCGGAAGTGACTTTGGCTTCATGGGGGCCCATCTGATGACAATGACACTTATAATGTTACGCCTTTGTGCAGGATCAAGCCGCCTTACTTACCATTGTGTAGGTCTTTCCACTCCCAGTCAGCCCATATGCGAATATCGTCCCTGGAAAGCGGAGAGGCATAGCATTACAGACACAGTTTCCTTCAAGTTCCTGCCAGCCTGTTTACCGTTGAAGCCCTGCAGAACCGATTCCACGATCTCTGCGGCTGTGGCATCGTACACATCTTTCTGAGTGGATGCCCAGTCGAAGACCGCGTCGTACCTGCGCGTCTTTTCACTCGTCTGATTTATCCTGCATCACAACAGGCAACCACAATCGACGGTTTCCCCCTCTCTCCCTCTCCCCCCTCACAGAATGGAGGCATTGTCTGTGTCAATGACGAGATTCTCATCGCTCTTTTTGTCCTCTCCCTTCAGGAAGGGCCGGCAGCGAATGACGACCTTTATCGTCTCCTTGGACTCGCCCCCTGGTGCCCCGGGCAGGGCGAGTTCGGGAACTGGCGATGCGGACATCCTCTCACATCAACATCGAGCGGAGAAGCCCCAAAAACATCGAGCGGAGAAGCCCCAAAAACATCGAGCGGAGAAGCCCGCGGTGCGGGAGGTCGCCCTTCTATCGCTCATTCCTCCCTCGGCCCCCATGGGCCCCCACCAAGCTCGCAGTCTCAAAAACCTTGGTGTGTGGAGGGTGTGTGTGTGTGTGTCTGAAACATGTCGCTCAAGGATCCGTTGTGGTTGGGTGAGAATGAGGACAAGATCCAGTACCACAACTTTGTGCAGCGGTGGATGGACTTCCGCAAACACACCATCCGGCAGCGGCTGAGGGAGGGGGAGCGGCGGCAGGGCTACACGTGGGCGCAGCTGCACAACTACAAAGAGGACTACTGCCTGCCGAAGCTCCCACCCGACATGCCGGTCACTGCCGTGCCGCAGGTGGCCACCTGTGAGCTCTACTTCAACTGGGTCGACCGCTGCGTCACCCAGGGCATCCTCAACATGAGAGCCAGATGGCCACTCGCCAGACTCCAAATCTGCAAACCAAACTGGGTCAGTCAAGAAGGGGAAGGAGAGAGACCATCTTGTGGTGGGACTGCCGCTTCCTCTGTGTGTGTCAGACGCTGCTGCGCCGCTGCTGCAAGCGCCGGGATGCGGCCATCTTGCAGGCTGTCGAGCAGTGGGAGGCAGACCACGTCAAGAGACTCTCACCCCAATACCAGTACGCACCAAACGACAGTACTCTCACAAGAGAGGTGCAGCACTGATTTGTATTGGGTGGGTGTTTCATTCAGGCAGGAGTACGTTGACGACTTGGACCAGAAACTGCGCTACCTGTCGGTACGACGACACCTGCATATCACACCTGACCTTCCGCCCATTGAAACGCATCGCTGCTCTTTGCCACTCGTCTGTCTGTCTGTCTGGCAGTACATCGATGCCCGCACACAAGACGAGCTGGACCTCCTCAGGTGGGTACCTCAGTGACACAACAAAAGGCCGAGCGTGTGAAGGCGCCTCCCTCATTGTCAGGTTGTGTGTGTGAATGTATGCAGGTTGAAGCGTGACGTGGAGGATTTGAAGCGTCGCGCCAAGTATTTGGTCAAGAAGACCAGGCTGACCCCGAGCCCCTACCTGGCGTACCAACACCCAGAGGACATACCCTACTACATCAGTAAGACCACCCACTGCCAACTGCCCCTGCCTGTCCTCATCAACATGTTGCTCTGCCGCGGTTGCAACTGTGTGTGTGTGTGTGTGTGTGCTGCAGAGGAGGGAGGCGACATGCCGATACCCCGACAGACGACGCTGGGATGAGAGAAGTGAGTGCGGAAGCAAGACCAGAGAGATGCGTTTGCTCTCCAACGGGGGAGGAATGAGTGACAGGCGGTGAGGCAGGCAGGCAGGCAGTTGCGTGTTGGTTGTATTGCGCTGTGTGAGTGAGGGAGGTTGGTGGTTTCTGTGGGTCTGTATCATCTCCCTGATGACACAGCTGTGAGGGGACGGGGTCTCCCACACGTATTTGGGCAGCGTCTCTGGGAAGTTGGTTTGGATCCACAGGTCAGCCCAGCTATCGCCAGTGTACACACATGAGGGGTGAGGTGATGCGAACTGACCACTGCCAGTGGCCGTAGAGGATGCGTGATCCAGTGAGTCAGTGAGTTAGTGAGTGAGTGAGTGAGGGAAGTCTTTTTGCGTGATGGATGGATGTATGATTAATGATGAGTCAATCCGTCAATTCAATTGACTACTGCCATTCAATAGCTGCGTACGCACACGACAAGGGTCGACTGTCACCATCGCACCAACACATGCACCACTCATGCGTAAATAAAATGTCATGCACTTCGCTACGCTACTGCTCTCCCCCCTGCGGCCCAGTCTCGCTAGTGCTTGAGTGTGTGACCTGTTGGTCACCTCCTTCTTGGCTTGAATGCACCTCTACTCCTTTGGCACGCAACCTCTCGGCGACCTCGTGCAGTGGCGGCATCTCAGCCTCGCCATCCACCAGCCCCTGGAACATCATGATCACTGCACCACCACAAGCGACACAGCCATCACCACACGGCAATAAGACAAACAGTGGCGGATGGATGGATGGACCACGGGCCGTGGCTGCCTGTGACATACGTACCTGCGTTCTTGCCAGCTCCCTTCGTGTAGTCGTTTTCTTCCTCCTCCTCCTCGTCAGTGTCTCGTTCGCCGCTGTCCTTGTCAGGCTCCTGTGCGGGTGTTGGTGCGTTGGGGAGCGGCGCGAGCTCGACTCGGATGGGGAATGCATTCCACATCAACGGCAGCTTGATAAGAGCACCCAACTCCTCCATGATAGTCGGTAACCAGACGGCGTCATCGGTGAAGTCCGCCATGCGGCTGTAGCCCGTCACTATGCACAGCTGATGGATGCATAGATAGATAGATAGATAGATGGATTGACACACACAATAGATAAAGAGGTGACATGGTGCCGAAGGGGGCACGAACCCGTTGCTCCCCTCCCTCCGTCACCTTGTTGTTTTTGAGGAGGTGTGTGAGAGTCGGCAGCCAGGTGTCGAGTGATCTGTCGATGGACGGGTTGGACAGCAGGCACAAATCCGCACACAGGCCGCCGCCCTCGGCCACATCGTCACCATACACCTACACGACACGACACGACACGACACGACACGCACCCAACCGTTTTTCACGGCGGGTCATCACAGCAGCCACCCAGTGTGTCTGTGTCACCTGTGTGAATTCGTGGTAGAGGCCCCTGAAGTGTCGGCACTCGAGCGTCTGCCCGCTCTCGAGTGTCTTGGGCAGCGGAGGACCGAGCATGCCGTATGTAAGCTCCTTGCCCCACCTGTCACCCTCACCTAAGAAGCCCACCAGCACCTGCAGGCAGGCGACACAAACGCAGTGAGTACAACATCACACTAGCTGACAGCGCTGCTCGCCTCGCTCTCTTTCCCCCTCCCGAGCTGACAGACAGCCGTGCTGAATGGGTGACTGACCACGATGAGCTCCTTCAAGCTGGGCACGCGTGTGAGTATTGCCGACCACTGGGCCTCGGCCTCATAGTCGCCAGCCACTCCCACCACGTGCATGACCACGCGTGGCTTGGCCAGCTCATTCACCGGTGGCGGATGCAGCTGGTTGAGGGCGTTCAGCACCGTCAGGGGGTAGGACAGCAGCAAGGGCCGCCTGTCCTTCTTCAGGGCATCCACTGTGTGGCACTGCCGCCACAGCTGGCTGCTCAGGTCATCGGGGTCGAAGAAGATGTACTTGTCCTCCTCTGCATATGACGAGGACGCGACGGCTGCCTCTGGAGTGCTTTCTTGGCCAGTCTCGAAGCAGCCCTCCTCGAGGGCCGACCGCATCATGCCGGCGTAGAGTTTGGATGTCTGCTGAGCGGCCCGCCTCTTGTCTGCCTTGACCGTCGCCCGCAGCTGCTTGGCGGCCGCATTCTCGGGATCGACGCTGAGCAGCCTGTCCACCGTGCTAAGCGACTTGTCCCAATCCTGAGTGGGTGGGACGAAGAAAGAAAGAAAGAAAGAAAGAAAGACAGACCTACGTTGAGTGGTCGGAGAGCCAGCACTTCTGCCCTGCTGTCTGTGTTTCCCACCCACCCACCCACCTGCATGTGGTGGTATGCGAGCGCCAGCCTGTAGAGGGCCTTGACGTTGTCCGGCCGATGATTGAGGACAAACTCACACTGCACCCGTTCCATGCAGCACACAGACACAGACACTACTATCTGTCAAACGCATGTGTGTGTTTCCTCGCCTGTGTGACGGTGTTGTCGGGCTCGTCCAGTTTGAGGTAGCCCTGGGCCATGTTGAGGCGGAGTGTCAGCTGCTCCTCGAAAGAACCACCGCCGCCGCCGCCTGCTTGCTCTTGGTCAAGGCGACTTGCCGCCACGCCGGCCTTCAGAATCTCTTTGAGCGCCAGCTGCATGGAAGAAACAGACAGCAGACAGACGTCATGCAGTGAATGTAATGGTCTGTGTCTTTGCTTTGCTTGCCTTCCAGAGGTCCACGGCCGCCTTGTACTCGCCTCGTTTGAAGGCATCATTTCCCGCCTGCTTGACTGCCAGCGGGTTCAACGTGTCGTCTTCGTCATCATCGCCGTCGCTACCCGGGTAGTCGTCGCTCTCATCATCATCGCCATCTTCGTAGTCTTCCACGTCACCATTCCTCTCGGCTGCCGCCGGTGGAATGGGCGCATTCTCGTTCGTATGGCTGCTGGGGTGGTCCTGGGGCTGCTCTGTTTCATCATGAGGAAGGCTCATCCTCACCCAAGCAGAAGATCTGCGAGCCAAGCGCGCACACAGGATCGCCGAAGAAGCTTCGCGCGTGATTTCCCCAATGGTTTGGGCCTCGATAGCCACAGACATATTGCATTCATACGGGAGTCGGGAAAACTACTTTGCAAAAGTAGACTGGAACACTCCGTTAATGCAGTCTGCCACTCCTTAATTAGCTACCAGCTCATTCACACGGAGTGTAGCTCTCGACTGTGCTCCCCTCCCCTGCTCGTCCCGGCCCTTCGCTGCTGCTGCTGCTGCTGCTGCTGCTGCACACTTATCCGTCGTGTGTGTTTGCGCCTCTCTTCTCGCCGTTTCTTGGCCATCGACCGACACCACAGCCGCAGCGCAAAGGCACATGCGATGATGCCGCTGCCCAGGCCGACCAGATCGGCGTAGAGGAAACACTTGGACCCCATGCACTCGAGGTTGGCACCCGTGGGGTCACTGCCCTGCTGCAGAGAGGGCACCGCCCCGCTGGAGGTGTCGTTGGTGGCTTGGTTGCTCATCTTCTGCATGACCAGGGCGGCCTCCCTGTCGGTCAGGTTGCTGCTGCTGCTGCCGGCTGCTGCCGGTGCTGCCAGGGATGATGATGCTGGCTCGAGGACGATAGTGTCGCCCTCCAATTTATCAGCGAAGACGTCGTAGAAGGTCCCGGCAATGAGATTGAAGACAGTGGCGAACAGAGAGAGGAAGGACACCAATGTGCCGAAGAGGAAGCCCAACGAGTTGTTGCCAAAGGTCTCCTGCACGCGTCAATGGATGGAGCAGCACAACAGAGGATGAATCAATGAGTGGTATGGATGGCTGACGGTGTCGGTGTTGCGTGCCATGCCACACCGTGATAAACACAGGCGTGTACGAGAAGTTCATGCCATAAACAAGGCCGACCAGCGAGATACATGCGGCCAATGACGAACCTGAACCACATGATGCGAACGCGGATCGGATCTGTGTCGATGGCTGTGAATGATTTGTTGTGTGTGTGTATCACCTCACTCACCTGGCGGGTCTCTCAAGGCATCCACAACCAGACTTATCTGAGGCAGGCACCACCGCACACACGCAGAGGCAACAATCCCGGCCGGCTCTCATGTCTTCAGTGACTCTGTCTCTGTCCGTCTCATTCACTTCACTCACTTGTGCGATGATGAACAGCACAGAGCCGAGCACGAAATGGAAGGCCGTCACGACAACACTTCGACAGCCGTCCAGCAGCAGGCCGCCGACAAAGCGGCCAGCACAGTTAAAGTAGCTCAGCAGCTTCACCAGCTCGAACCTGGCGCTCTCGCTGTAGCCGTATGAGTGGGATAATAACGAGGCGTTGCCGATAACCATGGAGCAGCAGCCCTGCACCACACAGAAGTACGCCCCGAGCATCAGCATGTCAGCAGAAAGCACCATCCGCATTTTGTCGTTGAAGGTTGCAGTATGATGATGCGGCTCCTGATGTGACGCCGCTCCCTCCGCCCCTTGTTGTTGCTGTGGCCCCTGCTTGATGGCCATCTGAGCATGTGCATGGGCCGCCGTCCCGCCCCCTCTCCGCCTCGACTCGTCCGCGGCCTCCTCCCCGCCGCCCTTGTCGCCATCTCTGCCCTCGAACATCACTGGGCTGGCCGGGGGAGTGGCACGCAGCCTCGGCCATCCGACGCGTGTGGGGCTGAGGCCGCCGCCACCACCCCCATCTGCAGCCGTCGGGCTGCCGGCCGGTGGCGTTATCTCGCCAGATGGCAGCTTGTGGTACCGCCGCATCTTGCCCGTCAGCCACCTGAACACCCTTCCAGCAGCGGTCTTCCCCACCTCATCCCCTGAGTGCCTGTCGGCGCCATTCTGGACAGCTGCGACCGATCCGTTGACGGATCCTGCGTCCGTCGAGGTCTCCTCATCGGCGGGTGGCAACGTTACCGAATCAGATGGGGCCACCAATGCCTTGTCGACTGGTGAGGTCGGCTGTGCAGGGGCAACTAGAGGCCTCTTGCGCAGCAGCAGGGCGCCGGAGAGAGCGGCGCTCCCCAGAAGAGCCGCTAGGCAGTAGAGGAAGGGGATCAGACGCTGTGGGCCGAAGAAGGTCTCGAACAGCAGTCCGATGAAGGCGGCAGAGAGGCCGTATGCCGAGGCCAATAGACCGACGATCCGCCCCCGATGCTCTGCGTGGAAGTTGTTGAAATTGGTGAACAGGGCCGAATAATACATGGCGACGGACCCTTGGCCAGCCAGAAAGTAGCAGAAGCCCAGCAGAAGGGCGCTCGGTGATGAAGACAGGACGTCCAGACAAAGGGCGAAGCCACAGTAACCTGCCACGCACAGGTACCCATGACTCGCCACGAGTGCCTACCATTATGTATGCACACCGCTCTCTCACCAGAGAATGCCAGCACCGCGCCAACGAGCGCTGTCAGGTTTGGCCCCGCAGCGTCGTAGAGCATGCCTCCCAATATGCCCAAGTACTGACCAGTGGCCCTGCAGGGACAATGCGCACGCACAGGAAACATGTGAAATGCACCCTTAGTGGTTGTAGTGCGTGAAGTGAATCTTGCCCCATGGAGTAGATCAGTTCAAGGTCTCTCGTGCTGAGGTGGTAATGCCTCTTGAGCTCGAGTGAGAAGACGCCGAAGCCATAGATGCTGCCGCTGCACAAGGACATGCACGTGCCGACAACCAGGGACGGCACAGACGGAAGGCATGGCGCAGACGCCTGGCTCTTGAGAGATTTCATCTCATCACAGGCCGAGCACTCTTAGTTCTGCATTGTCCTGCACCGTTCACCCCGAACTTTTTTGCAACGAAGCTCGCACGAGGGGCTCGTAGTGATCGGCGGTGTGATTTGCTGTCCGGGGGGGTCAGATCTGGCAGCAGAAGGTAACTGCAACAAATCACACACATACTTCACTCGTCCCTGGCTCATTCCTCATCCTCTCTGTCGTGCTTGCGCCGACAGGCCCTGTACCCAGGTGCTGAGGTCGCTAGTCAGCTTGTCGTCTCGTCAGTCATGACGGATTCCAGCTCGGGCCTCTCCGCCTTCCCGACTCATGACGGTACCGCGAAGCTCATCAAGGTTATCCAAGACGGCCCTCTCTCTGGCAAGAAGGTCCGCCGCCTCATCAAGAAGAAAGGGGCTGATGCTGCAGTGCTCGTCGGCCATCTGAGCCTCATTGAGATTGCCCTCAAGCATCATGGAGAGGGCCCCGTCAGCGACCGCACTCTCCACGCCATCGCAGAGCTGCTGTCGGGCGGCGCTGACCCTGACCATGGCCGCGTCGTTTGCAGGGCAGTGCGGTGTCATGACTATGCGCTGGTGGACCTCCTGCTCGACAACCACGCCGATCTGAAGGGGCTGTGTCTGCTGCACATGATCGCTGAGAGTGACCACCAACCGGCCGCTGAGAAGCTGCGGCTGGTAAGACAGCTGATCGACCACGACCCGGCCATCGTCAAGGAAGTCGACACTCACGGCCGCCATCCCCTCTCGTGCTTCTGCCGCCATCCCCTGCCAGAGGCTTGGCTGCAGGAGGCCCTTCTCGACCTTCACTACCAGAATGGAGCAAAGACAGACACCCCAGACAGTGACGGCTACCGGCCGCTGCACCACGCCATGCACACTGGCGACAAGACCACGGTCCGCTGGCTGTGTGGCAAGACCAACGACATCGATGCCAGGGCCAGCCGGGTCACCGCCCTCAAGCTGGGTGCACTCAACGGCCTGCCAACGAAGCTCCTGCGTGTGCTGCTGGTCCACGGCGCGTCGCCATCCGAGGCCACACTGAGGGCGGGCCGCGCACTCAGGAGCGAGGAGTGGGAGAGGCGGGTCACGAGGGCTTATCTCGATTACCTCAACAAGAACGTGCCCCGGCTGGTCATCGAAAACATCAACCGCACCCTTCGCGCCCTCCGCTCGCCCTTCGCTTCCCGCGAGTGGCGGCGATCCTTCCCTCGCGCATCCCTGCCAGCGGAGATGGTCACACACATCCTGCAGTTCGCCGCCCACCCTCGCCCCATCCCCATCGCTGACGAGAGGCTCGCCAGCCGCATCAACACCGCCGTCGGCCACTACTGTGCCCTCACCGCCAAGCTGATCGCCAAGAGGGGCAATGGAGAAAACGTCGGTCCGATGCGATGCTTCATGGTTGGCGGTCGCCGTCTGGGTGTGTGCGAGGTGGTGTCTCGAGCAATCAAGGATGAGGCCCGGCTGTACCAGTGCGATTGGCGGCCCTCCGCATCGACAACGGTCTTCCCGTGGCAGCATTTGGAGGGGCTGCACCTGTCTGGTGATGATCTGGAGCACGAGATGTTCGAGTCGCTGGGCCTCGAGTGAGTGATGCGTGTGGGTGTGGTCTGGTGTGGTCAAGACTTTATTCGTCGAGCTGCGTGCAGGATGGTCCTCTCTGTACTGAGTTGCTTGTTGCATGATTGCATGATTGATTGGACGTTGGCGATGTGTGCGTGCACTCGTGCGGTGAGAGAGTGTATTTGCAGGACAGACATGGATGAGATCTATGCATACAGACACTAACTGGGTGCATCAAAAGGCATGCGGGGGCCCCCGAGGGGCGCGAGCTAGACGGAGGCTACTCTCGAATCTCGCCGAGATGGCGGCACCCGCCCAGCAGCAGGAGCAGGAGCAGGAGGAGCCGCCCAACGTGGCGCGGCTGGCCTTCAACTGCAAGTGCGAGAGAACCAACCCCGGCGAAAGTGTTAACGTGAGGATAACCAGCCCGGACGACAGAAACCTCTTCCGGGTGAGCTGGGGAGGGCAGGGAGACCCTCCTTCTGCGTCATGATGGCCATGAGACACGGTTGGTGTGCTCCTGCAGGCTGTGCGGCTCACCACAACTCCTGTGGCGTGGCCCCAATGGAAGTCAAGTCTGCTTGACTTTGACACTCAGGCAAGCGACAGGAGATGGCCACGTTCGGCTTGGGGCCGGGTTCACAGAAAGGTCTTTGGCCTGGCTGCAGGATGCCCTCAACCTCAACTACAAGTATTTCTTGCAGAATGACGTGGGGGACCACCGGCGCGAGGAGGTGAGAAGGTCGAGGGACAACCATGCATGTCGACAGACAGGCAGTCTTTCTTTCGCCCATCTCTCTGCTCTGTGTGCGCAGGGGGGATTGGACTGGGTTCCCGCGAGAGCACTCAATGAGGTCGGTTTCTGTTTCTATCAGCTCGATTGTTTGTTCGTTGCGGTCATTGATTCTTTCCATGTGTGTCAGACGGGCGGTAGCGTTCGTGCCGTGTGTCTCGTGCGCGGCTACAAGACCGTTATGCACGACGTCTGGGGCGACCCTGAAGAGACTCGCGTCGATGTCGTCGAAATGCCCAGAAACGTACGCACCGAGCCACCAAACCAATATGCAACCGCCCATTGCCCCCGCAACCGGAATCGGTGTGTGTCGCCTTCCATACCTGCCTCCCTCCCTCCCTGTGTGTGTGTGTGTGTGTCTGTCTGTGTCCTGTCTCCATTCTGCTGACTCATTCAGTATGGCCAGCCGCCGCCCCCGCGCCCTGCGCCAGTGCAGGCGGTCCGCGACATACGAGTTCTCAACGAAATCATGGCAGATCTACGCAACCACCGAAACAACCAAAACGCCGGGGAAGCCAACCGAGGTGGCGGAGCGCGGGCACTGCTCCAACCTCCCCAGCCACAGCCACAGCCGCAGCTGATTCCCCGGCCCCAGCCTGCCGTCGCTGATGCCCCAGCTGCGGCCGCTGCTGCTGCTGCTCCAGCTGCGGCCGCTGCCCGGGATGTTGATGCCCGGAATGCTGCAGCCCGGGCTGCCGCTGCCCGGGCTGCTGCTGCCCGGGCTGCTGCTGCCCCGGCCGCTGCTGCCGCTGCCCCGGCTGCTGCTGCCGCTGCTTCGCCGGCGTCATCCTGCTCGTCGTTTGAATCCGCTGCCTCGTCAAGGCCCTCGTCGGCCACCCACTGCAAGCGGCCCCCTGCTGAGTCAGAGGAGGCCAAGGGCGCCAAGAAAACCATGAACGAGTCGCCCAGCCGCGGCGAGCTCAGGACGGCCCTGGCGGGGGGCAGTATGCTGGCGCGGGATGTGGTGGAGGGCCTGCCACTGGAGATCGTCAAGGTGGGTGGATGTGTGGATGTGTTGGTGTCTCCTTAGTAGGTGATGTCTCGCCCATTTTGTGTGGTGCTGGGAATGAATGGCATATGGATGCAGGAAGTGTTGGCTGAGCGTAACAAGGAGGTGGAGATGCTCAGCACCATCGTGGGCAAGAAGGAGTACGAGCAGTCCAACATGTGCGTTGTCTGCATGGAAGCACGCAAGGAGGTCGTCCTTCTGCCGGTAGGTACTACACATCGTGCGTGTGCCCTCTTGGCTTTTCTGCGCATAATCGATGTAGGCCTTTCTGTCCGTTCACCTGCAGTGTCGGCACCAGTGCATCTGCCGGGACTGCGCTAACAAGTTGCGGCAGGGTCCGGCGTCCTGGAAGTGCCCCATGTGTCAGCAGATGGCCAACGAGATCATCGTAAGTGAACTCCTCGACGCAGGCGCGAGCCTCCGAAAGCGTTTTCTTTGCTTTTAACAGGTAGTGTTCATCCCCTGACTGACCGAGCCATCCATCGGCACATACATGGAGCATTCACTATCATACACCACGCAGAGGGAGAGGGGGGCCACTCATTCTGCATGCCTATACTCGATTTTTAGCCATCAGGTTGCATAACACCAAGATTTTGGCCATACGAGACAATTGGGAGAGGGCAGGGAGGCAGCCTCAGGGGAGGGGAGGGGAGCGAAGAGTGGGGTGAGGGACACAATGCAGTCGGGAGCACCACAAGGATGCGACTGGTCTCACACTCGTACATGAATGAGTTGGAGGGAGACATCGAGATACTGTGTAATCAGACTGCCGGTGAGTCTCAAAGATAAAAACGCGCTCGGCAGAAGGTCGACCTGGCGCGAGACGCTCGTCAGCCCTAAGCAGCTGTGTAGCTATAGGATGCGCTGAGCTCCAGTTGTCCTTGGCCATTTCGGAACGCATGCCATGCTTGGGGGAGGCCCCCACGAAGCGAGCTTCCCACTGGCAGTCTCCGTTTTTTCGGCCTCTGGACTCAAAGATGGCGGCGCGTATCCAATTCCATTGCTTGTGTGGCATCACCGTGCCTGGGGACATTGTGCACATCACCATCCGCGGCCCCGACGCTGGACCACTGGAGTATCCGCTGCTGACGGACAACAGGGAGTGGCCCCACTGGAAGACCCTCCCGCTCGAGTTTGTGGTGCGCGGCGCCCTCAGACTCACCTACAAGTACTTCATCAAACGAGACGACGGGGGAGGATTCCTCAGAGATGAGGTGAGGAGGGGTGGGGTGGGGTCCAGAGGAACGCCCTCTCTCTATGCATGATTGTTGATGCTCCCTACCTCTCCTCTGCGTGTGTGGCCTGTGTGTATGCAGTTTCACTGGGGCAGCCGCTCGGTGACGTTGCTTCAAGGTCACGCACACGTCGTTTCCGACTTCTGGGGTGACATCCAGCGCACACGCGTCGAGTGGCAGCGCATGGCACCGGCACCGAACCCTGCACAGGGCCTCCAGCCCGCATGGGTACACACAGACACACACACAGCCTCGCACTCATTTCAACACATCCTTCCACCCCTCCCTATATCTCTCCCCTTGGCAGCCACCAGCAGCAGCAGCGGCAGCCCCACAGCAGCCAGCGGTGGGTGGTGCGGGTGGTGCGGTGCTGGCGAATGCCGTGTCTGCCTGCGCGCTGCGGTTGTCCAAGGAGGAGGAGTTGAAGCAGCAGGTGCGTCGCGCGGCCAGCAACAGCCTGTTGGTGCGAGAGAACCTGGAGGAGATGCCGCTGGAGATGATCCGCGAGTTGATGCACGACAGGCGGCGTGACCTGGAGTTGCTCGCCGTTATGGTGGGCAAGAAGGAGGCGCAGGAGCAGGAGACATGCATCATCTGCTGCGAGAAGGTCCAATAGCCAGTGAAGCAAGGCAAAGGAATGTCGATTGCGGAGTATGAGACACGCTGCTGTTGTTCTTCTGTGTTGTGGATTGTGTGTTGGGTGGTTGTAGGAGAAGGAAGTTGTCTTCATACCGGTACGCACACTTGTTGTGTTGGTGGATAGGCCAGTGGACGGAGGGAGGGAGGGAGACAACACTCGCTGTATCTCTGTGTCTCTGCCTCCGTTTGTGCCTCTCTGTCTGTCTGTCTATCTGTCTGTCTGTCTCTCTGTCTGTCCGTTTGTCTTCCACATTTGGCCGCACTGCATGCAGTGCCGTCACCAGTGTATCTGCTCAAGTAGGTGCCGGCCCCTCCAGTGCCAGACCGATGGCTGTCTGTCGACATCACTCCCTTCACCCATGTCTATCCGCTTGTGTGTCTGTTTGTGTGTGCAGCGTGTTGGCGCAAGCTGCGGGATCGCGGCATCTACAAGTGTCCCATTTGCCAACAAATCCCGGCGCGCATCATCCTGCCCGCCAAGTGACACACCCACCCGTCACCCAACCTACACCTACATTGGCAATCAAACACCATTTTTGCATCGTTCATCGGTTCTGGTCAATGGAGGGTCTGAGTTTCTGTTCTGTTTTGATCGATCCATGTATGAGTATAAGGCAGTGTGAGGGAGGCAAAGAGGGGGGAGGGGGTGAGGGAGATCGGTAGGACTATTGTTAGGCAGACCCCGGCACAGCAGAGGGATAGATACCCCGTGACGCGGCGCCGCCGTGTGTGGAGGACACAGACAGGGACACACACACACACATAACACATGGGCTTTTGAACGGTTGACGGTGAGACAGAGCGTCAGGGCTTTGTGGTCTAGGAGGGGAGGGCGTGGGTACTCAATTGTCACTCACTGCTCTGTTGTCTGTGGCCGATCATGTGTGGTCCATCGGTAAGTGAGTCAATGGTGTGGGGCATGGATGGGAAATGGGCGACACGGGGAGGGAGGGAGGGAGGGAGGGGTGAAGTGCTTGATAAATCGATGCAGACACACAGATGGACATATCATATGCACACGCGAGGACATCTTTCAAGCAGATGTTAAAGGCAGACGCAAGGACTTAAATGTCCCTCCATGTCCGTCTCTTGTCTCGTCCCAATACTCATTGCGATGCGAACGCAGGCACAGAGTCGGCGAAAGCCATGTTGCAGTCATACAATGCATGACCTTCATCCAACTCATGCCCAGCGCATGCACCGCAACAGCAGACAGGAAGATAGCCGCACCCATCGAGTCGAAAACGTATGGCAACACGCCCATTACCGGTGAGTGCATCGGCATCATACACACGAACACGCAGATTCACTCACTCACTGGCCCTCACGTCGTCACTACTGTACGTGCACATCAACACGGATATAAAGCGTGGCCAAAACTGCATGGGCGCCTGAGTGAATGAATGAATGAATGAAAGGACGGACGGATGGATGGATGGAGAGAGCATGATTGGAT